GAAGTGTACATGTCTAGACAGAAACACTTATCTCCTATGCAAATCAAACAATAAGTATTCTTTGATCCCTGTCTTGAACCCAAAAAGATGCATTTTCTTGCTCTAGCATCTAACTTAGTTATGTGACTCGGGTGTAGTTACAAAGCATAAACAACCAAACATTCTTAACTCATTTAGATTTGGTTTACATTTCTGCATAAGCTCATATGGTGATTTATGTTGCATAAGCTCATGCCACTTCTGTATACTCAAATTAATAAATGTGTTTCCAATATCAATTTCTATACAATATGTGATTCAATTTTTTAACTAATAAAATTAATTCCTCAAGAAATTTATGGTTACTGTAACACCCTAAATTTAAGTCTTTAAAATTATAGTATCAGTCCTGGGGTCCTCGCTTGAGCGAAAGATTCTCGCCTGGGCGAGAAAGGCTCACCTGGGAGGGTGAAATCCTGGGCTATACTGGAGGATTCTCGCCTGAGCGAGAGTTGTCTCGCCTGGGCGAGAAATGGCATTTTGGGATTGTTGAGACTGTGAGATTCTCGCTTGAGCGAGAATCCCTCGCTTGAGCGAGAGGGTCAGATTTGAGTTTTTTTAAAATAGGCGGGATTTTCTTGCTTGAGCGAGAAAGGGCTCGCTTAAGCGAGAACCCGACGTTGATACATTAAATAGGGGACCCCAAACACATTTATGAGGGTTAACCTAAAGAGAAGTGAGAGAAGGGAGCATTTTCAAGAGCAAGAAGGCTTGTGAGTCATTTAGAAGCTTGAGAAGAGATCCTAGAGTTGGCGGCGGTGTCGGTGGAACTAGTGCAGTTACCAAGTACCCAACCCAACACTCACCAAGGTAAGGATAAGTCTTTAATTTGTGCAATTGAAATGGAAAATGTGTGTATTTTCTGGTTGTGCAAGGATTAATTGGTGAATCACGTATTTATTATAAACATATATGGGTATATTTGTAATAGGGATTGCGTGGATTCACTAGATATGATTGATAGTGAAATCAATGAAAAAGGAAATATATTTTTAGCCGACCATAAATGGTTAGCGACTTCGGCTCAAGTTTACGTAGCAACACTTCGGCCCGAGTTTATGTGGCAACACTTCAGCCCGAGTTTATGTGGCAACACTTCAGCCCGAGTTTATGTGGTAACACTTCGGCCCGAGTTTATGTGGCAACACTTCGGCCCGAGTTTATGTGGCAACACTTCGGCCCGAGTTTATGTGGCATGTTTTCTTTATAAAAGAGATGAGAAATTGCCTTTAGCTAACCCTAAGGGGTGTAGCGACTTCGGCTCGAGTTATGTAGCAACACTTCGACCCGAGTTTATGTGGCAACGCTTCGTCGGCCCAATTTTATGTGGCATGTTTTCTTTGTAAAAGATATGAGAAATCGCTTTTAGCTAACCCTAAGGGGTGTAGTGACTTTGGCTCAAGTGATGTAGCACGGAAAATGAATTTCAAAGTGATTTACCAACCTTTTCTAATGTGGATTATCTTATAATGACGTTTATTGAATTAATGACTTACTCCTTTATGTGTTATGTTTTTGTCATTGATAATTCCATTGCAGATAAACAGGTGACATGAGGTGGTCTTATTTTTGGAAGCTTTAGGAGCTTTATGTTTTGGTTTAACTTATTAGCACTATTTTGTACATGAGTGCTTATTGGATTACTTGAAATATTTTGTAACTATGAATATATAACTTACCTGATTTATTGTAACTCTGGATATTCGTAACTATGGGTATTTTGAAAACCCATAACTAGTTGTATGCGGTAGTTACTAAGGTTCAATTGAATGAATTATGTTTTTCTGCAATATAAAATGTATGGTAACGTAATATGTTAAAAAGTGGTTTTACGGAGTGATAATGAGAGATTAAAGTAAGATGATGAATGTATGCATGAAATGATTAAAATAAAGGGAAAATTTTCAAGGGTAGAATTTCGGTCCTTACAGTTACACCCACTATTAGAAAATAAATTTTTATCCATAGTTGATATTCATTCCATATTTCAAATACGTTATTAGATAATTATAAAAATAAAAAATTAAGAAAATAAATTTGTATACACTAAAATTTTAAAACCATCCATTAGGATAAACTAAAGTAGTTTACTATATATAAAAGCTAATAAATCGATAGACTGAATTTTAATATAAAAAGTGAGAAATGTGCAACATAGAAATTATATTTTTGGGTGGACTGCATTCTAATTTGTTTAACTTAACGAAACAAACTACAAATAAATAAAAAATGAAATAAATAAATAAATTAAAATTGAACTAAAACTATATATTGAAATTGTTCCACTCAAAAATGAGTTTCACAATTTATCAATAGATAAGGCAATAAAGCATAGTTGTAAAAACCGTTTTGTACCTACCGGTTGAACCGGTCCATATACTGGTACAGTACAATAATTATACTGGTCATGCAATTATACCAGTCAAAACTTATCAAAACCGGTGAAAACTGGTCGATTTTTATTTAAAATTAATTTTTTAATGAAAATAACAAAATTTGTTGTTTTTTATTGATTTTTTAAACATTAATGTTAATATATTATATATGTATATCTAACTTCACCGGTATGCGGTTTAATTAGTGAACTACCGGTTAAATCGTTATACAACTATATCAATACCCCTACTAGTTTGATGACCGATACAATATTAATAACAATGCAATAAAACAATTTATAGCCATGAAGTGGCATGATAACCACTCTATCTTATCTTTGATGTAATTTCCTGGTTTCTTTAACGTAATTCTCATTTAAAAAAATATAGAAGATTAATTACTCCAAAATTTATCAAAAAAGTTAAATTGAATATAAACATCATGATAAATTGAACATGTAATGTCCACATTTTATTAGAGTGGATGTAGCATTGGCAATTTGGGTTGCCTGTAGTGATGGGTGTAGAACACAGAGATAAGGTGTACAACATATGTTAAAAATTAAATAATAAATATTATCAAGTATAAAAAATGAAAATATTATGTCAAAATTACAAAAATTAAATATATTTAATCAAATAAATTACATATTTTATAATTAATCATTATGTGATTTCACATTTTGAAATCGTTAAATAATTCGTTGTCAATTTTGTTGAACACTTATCTCTAAATATAAGTCATTAGACAATTATTCATCCATGCATCTCTTATTCGATTACGTGATTTATTTTTCACGATTTTTATAGTTGAAAAACTCTTTCCATAGTTATATTGCTAACTTCAAAAAAGAAAGATAAACTAATTGGTAAATAACGTGTCTTCCATTTTCAACAAACTTATCTAAAGTATTGTTGATTTCTTTCAAAGAATCAAATTCAATACTGTTATGTGTGATGTCTGTTCTCAAGTTGATTATCAAACATCATTAAATTAGTTGAACAAACAATTATGTAAATAAAATTTTGAAAATTCAATCACGTATCCAAACTAGAAAATAAATCGCATAGACTCAAGCAAAACATATAATGAAGTAAATAAGCATTGTAAATATTATGAAGTTCCTTAAATTGCATGTCCACAATATTATAAAATAATTCAACATAATAAATATTATTTGTTTTTCCTGAAGCATATCATATTACACATGTTTTTTAAAAACTCCGGGAAGTATAAATACACACCCTAACATACAACTCCCACCATTCCCACTTGTCGCTTAATTCCCCTCTAAATTGGGCGTGGGTATATGCATGTGTAAAAAGTGTATGTAATTTCTTGCTATGCTCGTCTACTATACAATTAAAAAAATAAAATAATAATAATAATATGTACATAAAATTAATTAGAATTAAGTAATAATATGTTGGAAAATTCAGAATCAATTTCCCTCCTCTGTGTGATGCAAAATAGGGACTTGCGGAAGCGGCCAATGAATAAAGAAAATAGAGAAGAATAGAAGAATGACACACAAAAATTTAATGTGGAAAAACCTCATCAATGTGAGAATGAAACAACCACGAGATTTAGTCCAGAAAATATACCTACTATAGAAAAGTAGGATTACAATAATTGACTCTCTTTTGCAAAGAAGATAACACTCAATCTCATCCAAAAATGATAGAAATACAAACTCTCTATAGTATCCCGTGTTTGGCGCTTTTTATAAAAAAAATTAATTTTGAGGACTCGTGTTTGACGACCTCAAAGTTATAAGATCGTTGGTCTCGTGCTTGACGACCTCAAAGTCATTCTATCCAGGCCTTGTGCTTGGTATTTTTATAAAAAAAATAATTAATTTTGAGGGTCCCGTACTTGACGACCTCAAAATTATAAGATTGAGGACTCTGTGCTTGACGACCTCAATCTATACCTTCGAGGGCCCCGTGCTTGACGACCTCGAAGTCAACCTTTTCAAGCTCTGTACCCGGCGTTTTATAAAAAAAGTTATTTCGAGGACTCCGTGTTTGACGACCTCAATCTATGTTTTCGAGGGTCTCGTGCTTGACGACCTCGAAGTCAACCTTTCCAGGCTCCGTGCCTGGCATTTTTAAGGAAAGTGATTTCAATTTTTGGTGTTGTCGTGCTTGACGACATCCAACAGGAAGTTTGTTATACTATACCCCATAATGGTTTTTAGGGCCTCGACAAAATTAGCGTTCATTTCTTTAATAGTTGCTTATCATGACAACACTCAAACATCAGTTTGTGAAATGTCAGATAAACAACAAATAAAGAGGGACAGTTGTGAACAACCAATTTTGTTCGACCTATTTAAATAGTGAAAAAATAACAATAAAAAGATTTCAAAATAACAAAAAAAAGGCTCAAAAATGTATTATTCAAGTTCCATAACCAACTTTATCTTGACTATTCGATTCATAATTAATTAGAAAAAAAGCATTTTGTTGTTGGGAGTTTTAGAGCAGGTTGAAGAGCAAGGTAAAAGTCCAATTTACTTGGTTGGTTGCAAAAGATAACGAGAATCCTGAACTCATGGTCACAGATATAGAAGGTGTCACTGTTCAAGCCATGGTTTTGGGAGACTAAAGGATACCATTTGTATAGTTAATACAATTCAGATTAGCAACCAAACAAAGAGAAAGGTGGTAAGTTTAGATTAAATTTATGATAAACATTGAGTGCACTATATCAAAAACACAACACTACAAACGGTTATGTGGGTATAGGATACGATTGTCCTTGTGATATGTGGGTATATTGTTGTATTGAATGCACCAATGCAGTCCTACTCCAACAAGTTTCATTCAACCAAATAAAAGACCATTGTTTGCCATGACTCCTATTATCATCACAAAGTATAAGCTGGAGAGCTTGATATAGGATCGGAAGAAGCTTCAAGAATGGTTCCAAATGAATCCTAAAGAATGCAAAGTGATGGCTTTGCTACACTGTTTGAAGACAGGAGGCCAAGGGGTTACAACTACCTGCAAGAAGTTTCACTAATTAGTGACTGAATTAATAGGATGATACCTGTTGCAAAGCAGTAATTGAATAAGGAATTAATGGAGAAAGACAAGCAACATGCACATTACAGTCAAGCCAATAACTGAGGAATCAGAATAGTATGCGCCCAGAAAGGCATCAGTCAAGAGTGACACACAAGAGGCAATCAACAGATGCAAGGCTGACACTTTTTATTTATTTATTTATTTATTTTCAGTTACATACACTGCATAAATGACATTACAACCAAATCAATCATATAATAAATCCTAAGGGAAACCAGCCAGAAATATACATCAGAATTAGCTGCTTGTTGGAGTATTCTGATTTCAGTTATAATCAGCATAATAAGGCAGCATTGATGGCCAGTCTTAAAGGCAAAAATGGAAACAGAGAAATAGAAAGGCTTGGATACGTCGCTAAATCACCTTGGCAATTCAAAAGTTTTATGCTAAGAAATCACACTATTCTATATAAAGTGGAAATAACACATACATGAAAGGGGGGGGAGTCATACATCAACAACCAAAATAGATATCACATATAGCATAGAAAGAAAGAAAGCTATATATCATCCATCTATCTACCACACATAGCAAATCAGATATACATATCATATATACATCTACAACGTCAAGCCGCCTATATATACACAACAAAACTGAAATCAAAGAGGGAAATACATTACACCCCACAACAAATCAGAAAGATACAACAGAGAACTCAGAAAAAACACACATGTATCAACCAGAGGAACATACCTTCACTTACTCTCACATCACATGATAGACGGAGAACACCCACATTCCATATATACTCATATCACTCAAGCAACACACATACACATATTAGAGAGGAACTTTCCAGCTGTCAAACTCACGGATATCGCATATCCAGAGAACATCCATATTTCCTATCCCTTACACACATCACCTAGCCACATAAGATTTGCAATCTTTGCTATCCATACAGCAAATCACATACATAAGGCGAGTAATCATCTATACAGCATTATCTCATAACCAATATCAACACTAAGGACCAAACGGGACATCAAGAAAGAGGGTTTATAGGCAAAGAAAACCAGGATTCGGTCGTAAACCAGAGGCTAAACATCTAAAAGGTAAAACATTTGGTAAGGTATTCATCACATTCATGTATGTAAGGGCATAAGTATGTTATTCATCATGTGATATCACCCATAATACAAATCAAAAGTTCATCAAGCCATGACCAAAGCATGAAATGTAGAGTGTATCTCATATCATTCGGTTGATAGGCAATGTTATAAATCCCTAGGCTCAACTTATGAATATTATATAGAAACGTGTTTCCTTTCCATTCAATTACAGCAGAAATGTTCACATTCATGATTGATAAAAACAAAACATAAAAAAGTCTCATGAGAATCCGAAAATACTTATTAAGGATTTCTAAATAAATTAATGTTCAATCTCATTTTCATAAACATGCAATCCAAGATTGGTTAGCTTTCTTTGAAACGAAGAAGTAGAGTACGTTTTACCATGACAATCGGTGGTTCCTACCGCGGTCTTTACCTCCATTGATACTATCGTCTTCCTCCACCAACTCGGAGCTATCGCTGGAGAGAATGAGAAAAAGGGAGTTAGGGATCCCTATCCCTTTGATCGTGAAGGAAACAGAGAAGATGAAAGGGGATGATGGCCTTGAAGCAACACCATCGCCATTGATGACCTTGCAAGCCGCCGTTGCTGCCTCACGTCGCCGTTGCCACCATTGAAGAAGGAGAAGGATTTAGGGATTTATCCCCTTTCCTTATTTTGAGTCAAAGTGAGAAGAGGGTCGGGTACCCCCTTTAGGCTTAGTTTTTTAAGTTTCTTAATTTTATTTATTCAGCCTTTTATGCGTATATGCTTTATAGTGTAGGAAATCATGCTAATCTACTTCATATGTCATCTATTGTTGAAAATGGTTACATATTTTTATTCAAAATTATGTTCATATTTTCTCACATTAAAGCTATGTCTCAATAATAATAATAATAATTATAGTCAAACTAGTTTTGAATAGAATTTTTATAGTGAGGTTACGATTTATGTCGTATCTTGTTTCTCACTTCGAGCTGAGAACCAGTCGCGGTCACTTGTACTGTTTCTACTATTTATCGAAGTGAAAAGATGGTTAACGACCAATGTCGACTCTTCACTATTTAATTCCCGCTTTAAAAATATTTAAGTTATTTATAAAAAGTGTTTTAATTATTTTTGGGATTCAATAGCGAGGTTACAACTCGTATTGCATCTTTCTCCTTGCTTCGTGCCGAGAGCTGATCGTGGTCACTTGTACTGTTCCTTCTATCTGTCGAAGTGAGAAGAGGGTAAGCAATCAATGTTGACTCTTCGTCTATTAATTACACTTCGATCAATTTCAAACAAAATTTCTATAACTCTTAATTAAACGAATTTTCAACCTTTAGTCAAACCAACAAACGATTTTTCAACCAGAACTACGTAGTCTTGATTTCCTTATTACACCTAGGGATATGTAGGAGCAAGATAAACTCTTGTCAGACACAAAAATAAAAAATAAATATTTCGTTATAAACATTTTAATTTTAATAAATCAAAGGGTATTTAATTCATGCTATTAGTTAGGGTACCGTTTACTTACGGGCAGACGGGGTGCTAATACCTTCCCCGATCTGTAATCGACTCCCGAACTCAAACTCTAACATCGAAAGACCATTTTATCCTAATTTGGGCTCAATTCGAGTTTTCCACGTTTTAACTGCAAAAGACGTGGTGGCAACTCCTCAAGAGGCTGCGTGGCCGAAAATCGGGGCGCGACATCATAATCATCCATGGTTGTAGATTGAACATAATGAGTTTGTTCTCCTCTATTAAGTTGAAAATTTGCAGGAAAACCATGTAGCTTATAACATGTGTCTGTTGTGTGTCTATTCTTCTTGGTCCAAGTACCTCTTCCATATCTACTAGAATTTCCTCTATTAGGAATGCCATTAGTGCTTATGTTGGGTGTGTAAGATCTACCTTGGTATCCTCCTCTCTTGCAATTTATTGAAACATTCATTACCTTTGAGTTAGAGTCATGCCCACACATCTGATTTTCTTGTTGAGTAACAAGAGAGAAAACCTTGCTCATGTTAGGGATTGGTTCCATTAACATAACTTGGGATCTGACTCCACTGTATGCATCATTTAGACCCTTTAGGAATCTTACAACCTTGTTTTCCTCTCTATGCATCTTGATGTCACATAAAGAATCACATGTGCATCTTGGTTCCGGCCTAACAATATCTAATTCATCCCACAATATTTTGAGTTCAGAGAAGTATATTGATATGTTGATATCACCTTGTTTTAAGCTAGCTATGGTATCCTATAAATCTGTTATTCTAAAGAGATTACTTTGAGAGAATCTTTCATAGAGATCTTCCCACACTTTATAGGCTTTGTCTATCCAGAGAGTGCTTTGTGTTATAGAAGGTGTGACTGGTCTGGTTATCCATGAGGTCACAATATTGTTGGCTTTTTCCCAAACCTTGTATGAGGGGTCTGTCTTAATTGGTATTATGATGGATCTGACAACAAATTCCCATTTTTGTTTGGAGATAAGGCTCATATTCATTGACCTTGACCATTGGTGATAATTATCACCATTCAACAATGATGATGCAAGGGGATTGGAGGGTTCTTTGAAGGGTGCACATAATATGGGTTTTTAGAGGGATCCAAACCAGTAAAGGAAGGATTGGGAAGAAGTTGAGTTGTTGAATCAGTTGTAGACATTTGTTGAGTGTAAAAGAGCTCTTAGAGCTCTGATACCATCTAATAAAATGAAGAAATCTTGTGGATGGATTATGTAACACCCCAAATTTATCCTCCTTGAAATTAGGTAACAATCCTGAAGAATGGGGCATACTGCTAGATTCTCGCTTGAGCGAGAGGATCTTGCCCAAGCGAGAGGATCAGTGTTTTGAAATTGGAAATTCTAGGAGTCTCGCCCAAGCGAGGAATGGGTCGCTTGAGCGAGAAAAAGCCTGGGCAGGCTATGAGATTCTCGCTTGAGCAAGAGAATCTCGCCCAGTCGAGAGAGCCCGTGTCTGGAAAATTAAAATATCGTGGGTTTCTCGCCCAAGCGAGATATTCTCGCCCGGGCGAGAGTGCCCAGCTATAAAAGTAAAGAGAGGGTTTCACAAACCCTAATTTTCATTTTCTTTTCTCCTCTTTCACTCCCAATGGCGGCTCCTCATGGATTTCGACTCTTTCCTCCCCCTAAACCTCAAAAACACATCAAAGCCTCTTCCTCTTGCTTCTTAATGGAACATTGGAGAGCTTTGGAGAGGAAAAAGCAACAATGGAGGTTGAAGGAGATGGAGGAAGATGGAGCTCTTTGCGGATCCATGGAGCTTACGCAACCTAAGGTGAGGGAGAAGACCATTGTGGTCTTAGAGTATTTCATAAGAGTCATCATCTCCGATTTCCCTCAAGAATCGGAGCACATTAACTGATAGAAACTCTCTTGGGAGTTTGTGGTCCATGTGAGAGTCTTTATTTTACATAAGGATGTATTAGCCGTAAAAGTGGAGAAAACCGTTTATGAAAGTACAACGCCATATGCCCCTTTATGGTAATACACCGTCATTAAAGATGGTTCTAACGTTAATGTGTATATGATGAGTGATATTTTATGTGTGACTTGTTTATGAATAATGGTATGTTATGGATGGTTGATTTATTATAAACATATATGGGTGTGTTTGTAACAATGAATGTGTGATGAGTTATTAAGGTGTTAAAATGAGATGGGTATGTTGGTAATAAGAATTGTTTGAATGAGTTGTTGATTTGTAAAGGTGGAGATGAGTATGTTTATCGAAGGTGTTATGTGTTATTCCATGATGTTGGAACGATGTGATGCCTTGTGTTTATTGGTGTATGACATTGAGTTGATATTTTGTGCTATGACGAACATGTGATGGAGAATTACTAGACCTGCCCGATGTGGTATGGGGAATTACTCGACTTGCCCGATGTGGTACGGGGATAACTAGACCTGCCCGATGTGGTAGGGAGAATTAACTAGACCTGCCCGATGTGGTATGGAGAAATAACTAGACCTATCCGATGTGGTATAGAGAATTAACTAGACCTGCCCGATGTGGTATGGAGAATGAACTAGACCTCCTGATGTGGTATGGAGAAATAACTAGACCTGCCCGATGTGGTATGGAGAAATAACTAGACCTGCCCGATGTGGTATGGAGAAATAACTAGACCTGCCCGATGTGGTATGGAGAATTAACTAGACCTACCCGATGTGGTATGGAGAATGAACTAGACATACCCGATGTGGTATGGAGAATTAACTAGACCTGTCCGATGCGGTATGGAGAATGAACTAGACCTGCCCGATGTGGTATGGAGGATTATCTAGACCTACTCGATGTGGTAGAGGATTATCTTTGTGGGAAAACTCGGTGAATATGAATGATGAGAAGTGAGTATGTTGAAATGAAATAAATATGCATGCTATAGAATATAAATTATGGGATATATATACTATAGGATGAATATGAATGAGTTTGTTGGATGTAAGAAATACGCACACTATAGAATGTAACACCTCAAATTTCGTCTTCGGAGTGATTGGAAAACTTAGGGTGTTGAGGTGTATGTTTGACCATTCTCTCTTGGACGAGAGGGTCTCGCCTAAGCGAGGGACTCAATGTTTTAAGTTTGAGAAGTATGGGAACCTCGCCCAAGCGAAGAAGTGGTCGTTTGAGCGAAAGTGAAATCTGGAAAAGCTGTCAAATTCTAGCTCGAGATAGAATTTTCGCCCAGGCTAGAGAGGGGCCTTAGCATACTGCCCGATTCTCGCCCGAGCGAGAAATCCGCGCCCGGGCGAGAGCATTCCAGTGTGAAACTTGAAAAATTCGCGAAATTCTCGTCCAAGCGAGCCGTTCTCGCCCGGGCGAGAGCGTCAGAGCTATAAAAGTGAAAAATGGGATCTAGAAACCCTAATCTTCATTTTCTTTCTCCCCCTTTCTCTCCCAACGGTGGCTCCATCCAAATGGACCATTTTCCCCTCCACTAAGCCTCAAAACTCATCAAAACCTTCCTTTTGCTTCATGGTGACACATTTGGAAAAGCTTGGAGGTGAGAAAGCAACATTGGAGGTGAGAAAGCAACAATGGAGGTTGGAGGAGATGAAGGGAGATGTAGCTCTTTTGCGGAGCAACAAAGCTTACACAACCTAAGGTGGGGGAGAAGACCATTGTGGTCTTAAAGTATTTCATTAGAGTCATCTTCTCCGATTTCCCTCAAGAATCGGAGCACGTTAATGGATAGAAACTCATTTGAGTGTTTGTGGTCCATGTGAGAGTCTTTATTTTACATTAGGTTGTATTAGCCATAAAAGTGGAGATATATGTGTGGGAAAACCGTTTATTTAATTAAAACGCCATATGCTCATTTATGGTAATAAACCGTCATGAAAGATGGTTCTAACGTTAATGTGTTATATGATGAAGAATATGTTGTGTGTAGTTTGTTTATGTTAATGGTGTGTTATGAATGTTTGATTTGTTATGAACATACATGGGTATGTTTGTAACAAGGATTGTGAGATGTGTTGTTTAATGGCAAAAAGTAGAAATGGTTATGTTGTGTGATAATGATCATGTGTGAGTTGTTTATTGTTATAAACATATATGAGTGTATTTGTAACAATGATTGTGTGATGAGGTGTTGATTTTTTAAGAGTGGAGATGAGTATGTTTATGAAAATGACTAAGTTGAGAGTTGCTTTATTGTTATGAACATATATGGGTGTGTTTGTGACA